TACTCAATTTATTTTACTCAGCTTGCGCGGACGGACGGACAGACGGACAGACGGACGGACGGACAGACAGACGTCCGGATTTCAACTCTACTCGTCACCCTGATCACTTTGGTATATATAACCCTATATCTGACTATTTTAGTTTTAGGACTTACAAACAACCGTTATGTGAACAAAACTGTAATACTCTCCTTAGCAACTTTGTTGCGAGAGTATAAAAATCGGACACAGCCCAAGTATGACGGGCATAGAACCATGTATTAAACTTACAAAACAAGTCTAAAAATAGCTTCAAGTTTTACATCATTGGGCGGCTATCTAAAGATTATTCTGTAGACGTTAATTCCAAGCCTCTAATGAATTCAAAGGACGCTAAACTTTCGAAAAGATTACCAAAAGTGCCATCCGTTTGGCTACCAAACAAGTAAAGGAAATGCGGATCTCGCAAAGACCAATGAATTTTCCGAAAGGTTTGATCGAGCGTGTTGGAATGTCTAAAAACATGAAGGACCTCCAAGATCATGTTCAAGAGTCCCAAAAAACAAACTTATACAAACAGATGTAACTACGTTAGATTCAGCAAGTGCAGGGAAGTAGGCATTATCAATTAGGCATGCCTCTGCTCAAACTTATCTCGTCTTAGATATTTAGAAGCATTGCGGTTCACGGGACTAGATTAATTATCAAAATCAGATATCAAATCGTTTTTAAAGTTCGCAAAAAGCGTTGACGCCCTGTATGACGAACACTTAACAAAACCTCTAGCTATTATTACTAAGGGCCAGTCAATGTATGGTGTGACCGTTGGCCAGTGTAACATAACCTAACATCTTTCGAATCTAGATTTTTACTCATCTATGAACTCTAAAGAGGTAACAGTTAACATCGTAAGAGACTAACACATTCTTACCCAATTAATTTTGATTTTATAAAGGCGGATTCACACTCACAATATACACACTTCTTTATATTTCATTTCTCTTACATTCTTACGGGTAATTAATTAAGCAAAGTACTGCTTTGATATCTGCCACATATTGATCTTTCTCTGAACCTACAGTTATTCATAATTCACAGTTTAATCTCCAATAAATTAATTGACACACATACGTGCATACATACACACAATTTCAGCAGGTTAATTTATTGAAATTTTTTTATAACGGTTTGCACTCAACTTACCACCATCTGGTATATGGCATCCACAATATTGTACATTTCCTCGCGCGTTATGTAACCGTCATTGTCAACGTCATACAACCGGAAAGCCCCTGAAAAGTAACGAAAAAATTTTATAAATAATAGTGAACGAATATATATATGTATAAGTGATAGAGAGGGAAAAATATTGGTATACCACATATGGAAATTTTAAATATTTAAGGCAGACTAAATATTGTATGAGCGTAAGCACACACTCGCACTTACATATATAAATTGGTCAGTAAGCGCATTTCTGTGACCGTCGTTTGTTTGTATGAAAATGTTTTAATTTCATATTTATTTCAATATTTATTCAACTGACATGTAAATGAGTCAAGTTTTTCCCCACAACCCAAATATTGGCGTAAATAAATAAATACATTCGCAGTATTTGCGAAATTGTCAACTGTCATTAAGCGGATTAAGTGAGCGCAATGATATGTGATATATCAACGCTGCATACATACGAGTATATACATATACATGTCACCGTTGTTGCAAAAAAGGAGTCTGTTGTGTTTAATTGTTGGCGTAAAATGTAATTGTAATGCCGCGAAAGACAATTATGCGTGGAAAATATTCTATGCCGCACAGTGCAGCTTTTTATGGCCTGCACAATGCCAACACATAATTTCTTGTTTAATATTGGAAAAAATATTAAAATTTATACGTTTATTACTTTTTACGAGCGAAAACATTACTACTTGGTGATGTAAGAGAAACGTAACTCATTCACTGTGTGTGTGATTGAAGTGCTTTGTATAGGTGAAGGCTACTCCGAAATTTCATTAAGTTTGGATTTAAAATATAATATTATATTACTTGAACAAATTGTTGCTTTACCAACAGAACAAACTATATTTTGTCGAATACAAAACTTTCTTTCGCCTTTAAAATAGGTTTTGTACAAATTTGTTAATGACGCAGTCCGGGTCAAATTTGATCAGATGATACAAAATGCCTAATTCTCATTTCTTTGAATTTATTTAACATTTCACCTAGGAATTTTCAGTTTTATTATAAAAAGTCCACGTCTGTGATTGAATGTTACTTGCATTATATTGGTGCTACATCTTACTTTTCAATATATAATAGTTATAAGTCCAAGAATTTGTTGATAATAAGCTTGAAATCTAACAAACGTTGGATGAAATGTTCCTTTTGTTTACAATAACAAAACCTCGGAAGAAGTTGGTGGTATTCATTGCCAAATCGGACTATTTCCAAGCCTACCAACTACCATAATTCGAAAAGACTTGGACGTAATATGACTCGTTTGCCAATCAAATGAAATCACAGCTAAAAGTCGACGTGGCTCATATCAATTTTAGAAAAAAATTTCATATCTTCCTAAATACTTAAGGGGAATATCCACTTTTGAATTAAAAAAAATTATTAAAGAAATCACTTTTTTTTTAACGGGGTTTACATTTTTATACGGTAATATTGGTCCAAATTTTGAAGTTGATCCGGCAATATGAGCAGATTTGTAGATTTTTCCATCTTATAATAATGGGCTCCCAAATCCTGCACTAGTTTTTCGTTACTATGATTTCCGATTGGATGAGAAAAATTTCTCCAAAACGATTGAACCGCTCGACCGTGAGTCTTTACAGGACCCTTTCTTGATATATATTTGTCACGGTTAAGGGAGAGTAATGAGATTTTTGGTAATCGGTCTTCTGCTTTGCGAAACCGAAATTTATCAAAATTTTAAATTATGGCTAGTCCTTCGATTAACACCTGTATTAACTATATGTATATCAATAATAAAACTTTTTTTTGGAATTTGAGATACTTTTAAGTGGGGAAATATTCCTCACTCCAAGACACTTTTAGGGTTCTTCTGCAAATCGGTACGGTATATAGGAACTCCAAAATTCTCCAGAATGATTGGCAGGTTATTTAAAGCTGTAAAGGTCTACTTTATTATCTAACTCTAAACTAAAATGTACCCTAAAACAACGAAAACCTAATGTTTTCTGACTTGCAGGTAAAGGATGATATAGTTTTCGTAAGAAAAAACACAGAAACTTCGAAGTTAATGGGGACTGTTTACTATCATTCGGACCTGTATTTT